TCTAAATTGTCTCAATGTTCTCAGCCTCAGGGCCAAGAATTTAATATTCCGCCTCTTTTTCCTCTCTCAATTATCAATATTACTTTGCATTTCTTGTGTTAGAAATCTCTGTAGTCCTCTTGCATTATTATTAGTTTTTTTGTTTTTTTTCTTTTTGGCAGTAGATATTTGCTCATTTTTGGCTGTCTGGAATATTTCCTGTTTGGGGTCTCTCCATCCATGTATATTTCATATGGAAGGAAGCAGGATCTACCTTCTCTTATGGGAGCTAAAAAGACCAGACACCATTCCAGCCTCCTTTGAAACAGTGTCGAAATAGGGCGTGAGTGTTTGTCCTGCACTTGGCTAATCGCATGCATCCTCTCCAGACTTCGTGTTGGGAGCTGCAGCAGAAAGGACAGGAAGGGGCTGCCTTGGAAGCAACAGCAGCAGCAGCAGCAGCAGCAGCAGCGGCGCCACCAGCAGGGGAAAGTGACAGTGAAATACGATCGCAAGGAGCTTCGGAAGCGGCTGGTGCTGGAGGAGTGGATCGTGGAGCAGCTGGGACAGCTGTACGGCTGTGAGGTACCTGGGCCCGGGGCCGGGAGGGTGGGGGGCTTCCCTCGCGCGCTGTGCCCACACAGGAATTCTCCAGGGATCCAGCTCCGGGGCGCGTACCATCCTGACTCCCGGGGACCCAGCGCTGGGAGCGAGGCGCGGCGCGTTCTCTTTCTAGGGTGCTGTCTGGTCCCAGGGTGCAGCGATTGGGATGCGCCTGCCTGGGTTCGGTTGCCGGGTTCCCGGGAGAGCTGCGGACCCCCTTAATCGCTGTGTTTGGGAGTGTGGGGCTGGGTCTTGCTAAGTGCATTGTTTTTCTCAGAGCCCGGGGCGCTTCTAGGCTCCAGCTGCAGCTCCACGAAGAGGGGCTTGGAGGGGTTCACCCCAGCTGCGCCTAGCCCAACGAGAACAGGGCTCGCGGCTGGAATCCTGGCAGCCCCAATTTTTGTGGATAGGGAGCAGGAAAGGGACCCGAAAGATGCTTAACGGAGAAGAGAGGTTCTGGGGGATCTCAGAGGTCCTTTCGGTTTCTGAAATTCTATGTGAAAATTCTTGAGATGAAGGCTTTCCCTTTTCCAGCCAGCCCTAACGCGTGTCCCCATAATTCGCTGCACACGCTGCGCTTTGTTGAAGCTGCTTTCTTGTTTCCGGCCCAAGCTCAGTTACTCCCGTTGATGGGCGCAGAATGAGAACCGTGGGCAACCTAGAAGGACGCCTACGTGAAAGAAAGCTCAGGAGTGGTGGTGTGTGGGATCCCGAATCCACCCCCACAATTGTGACTTCTCACACTTCAGGGGCTCAGGTTATGTGTACATCAGTCCGACTGACGTGTGTACATTTGATGATAGGAGAAATATTTTAGAATAAGCTGTAACACACGTAGGCTAGAGAAATGACCGAAGCCTACACGATCTCCCATGCGAATCTTTAATGACAGTAATTCTAAATGATGTATTCTACTTCTCAGAAGGGAGTGGAGTTTGGAAAGGGAGGAAGAGTGAAGGTGATTAATAATTTAGGATATGGCTTCCAAGTCAAAGCTAGGCTTGTGTCCACACAACTGTAAATGTTCTCCGGCAAAAATGCAAGCCAAGTGAACTCACTGGCTTACCCACTGGTTTGGAGTATTCTGTATTTCACACATTTTATGGTCTATTATGAATACATATTTCCCTTAACATTCTCATCACACAAGGTAACAGCATTCTCATTACAGACTACTGATGAATAATTATGATATAATGAAGCTTGACTGTATGACTAATAGGCTTGTAAAATATATTGTTTCTCCAGCCCAGCTCTTATAAAAAGCCATTTTAATTGCATAAATAAAAACTGGCCAACATCGGAAATGTTCATGGTTTTTTTTCAATAGGAAGTTGGCAGAAACTCTCTAAAGAAACACTATATTTGATTTAGATGGGATTACTGTTGGACGGATGGATCTGCTCAGTCTTGCCTCTGTAGAATCCAATTAATTTTAATTTATTTCGTAATGGTCCTTATACTCCATTTTGGATATGGGGATTTGAGTTAATAGAAAGACTGTTGTTGAAATTAACAATGCTTTAGCAATGCTTCTTTTATAGGAGATTAATTAGAAGTAGCCTGGGAAACTAGAAAGAGTTCCAGCCCTCTGGTAGGTTGGCAATTTTTGTATTTTAAAAATTCTTCAGAATAATTGAGAAAAGATGGAGGATTTATTGTTCACTGTATGGAACATGTAGGTTAGGTATATATTTTTAAAAGGTGAATATGACCTTGAAGCTTTTCCTTGTACTTCTCCCAGTTTAGACCTTCAACATATAGCAAACATCTAGAGATTCGAAAGAGGTTTTCTGGTGAAATAATACAAGATGCTATACGTTGCCCCCATGTCATTAAAATATGGCAAGCATTTCTCTTCAACTTGTTTGTTCTGTCATTTTAGATGGAAGGAATATAAATCATTGAGGTCGTTGACAATTTATAATCACTGTGCTGATGGAACACCTTTATTTGGTAATCAAAAGCATGTGGAGTAATAAGTAGCCACATAAAGGATTGTGTTCCATCTATTTCTCCACAAGTAGGGCTCTATTTTTAGCTTAGGTTCTCTGGTCTGGTAGCCTGTCCTTGCTGATAGCGGTCAAGTAGTTGAGTCTCTGCTATGTGAATCGAGAAGGACCTACTCAGGCTTATAGCTCTGAATCTCATGAATATGAAGGTTAGGAGATATCCTTTTTAACACTTAAAGGTGGTAATGTTTTCAAATGTTTAGCACATGAAATTGACATAGAAAGCCAATTTCCCAGACTTCAAACTGGTCAGAGGCCCCAGCTATCAGCCAGGTTGGGGAGGTGGAGGGAAGATAAACACATTTCATTTCAGAAGAACTTTTATCAGGCGGGTCAGCAGTTGGATGACTTGTCCTTTACAGAATAGAAAAGACTTATCTTTCAGAGTGGGATAAAATATGATATTTAAATTAGAAAGGAGTGGGAAAGAAGAAATGCCTTTCCTGGCTGTGGTCTTATCTAGAAGTTTGCACTTTACATTATGAAGAATAATGTAAAGACAGCATTTCTGGAGAGCTTATTCGGTATCAGGTACCGTTCTAGGCACTTTGTATATACTCATTCATTTAGTCTTTATAAAAACCTTGTGAAGAGGGTACTGTTATTGTCTGTTTTACAGATGAGGAAACTTGGACAGAGAATGAGTAAGAGGCTTTCCCAGCTCACATAGCTGGTGGATGGCAGCGGGTGGGAGTAGGGGTATGGACGCTGGCCTGCCTGTTAACTTTGCAGGGTCCAACACAAATATATGTCTAAATATATGTCTAAAATTCAAAAGTTATGAATCGAGCTAAGGAGAATTTATATGAAATTTATTCTTTCCACCTACCTTGACAACAATATCTTCATAATGACCTGGAAGGTTACGTTCAAATTTGGAATTCTCAGACTTCCCAGAGCTCAGAGCTGGAATGCAGTTGGCAGAAGCTGCCCTGGGTCTGGGGTCTGTTTCCCTTTGCTTCCCACCCCTGGTACAGTCCTGCCTGGTGGAGGGCATTGCGTCCACCTGCCTATCTAGTCTCTGTCCACACTCTCTGGCATCCCGTAACCATACCTCTGGCTCAGACCTGTGACAAAGTCCCACCTTGGGAAGATAGATCTGGGAGGCATCTGTTCATGCCCTAGAAGTAGCTTGGGATTGAAGTTCTGGGGTCCTGGAGCATAGCCCAAAACCAGATGGAGGGACACCGGTTCTGGGTGGGTAGGTCCACTTGGTCCCAGGAACTCTTCAGGAAAAGGGGTGTGGCATCTGAGGGCGGTGTGGTTAAACACCACATCTTATCTTGGATACATAGATAAACGTTTTTATAGAGTCTAAAATGCTTTTACTTATGTGTTTATAGTTATTTTCCATTTCATCTTCTTGTACAGATAGTTAAATTTTCAGCTAGGAATTTGGTTATAATGGAACTGTTAGGTTAAATCTACATCCACATTTAAGGCTTTCTGTTTTGAGATATTTTCATATCTCTTCCAAACCCTGACAGTTCTGCACATTTGAAAACTGGCATAGTGTCTGCTTGGACAGGTATTGCAAGGTGACTTACTGGGTAAATTATATCAGTTTTCCCCATTTTACTCAGCATTGACATAACATCTGAACTTCCTGTTTTGCAATTTGATTTGCTTTGGAAATGAAAGCCTGTTGTTAATCTGAGATTATCGAACCACCCGGAGCAGCCTCATTGTAAGTAGACTTGCGCATCATAAACACCCTCACCTTCAGGACAGTCACCTTGACTGTCCCTTTAAGAGGACTTTCCCTTTGCTGAAGCTGTCTGCATTTTAAAAAGCGGTTTCTGGCATATTACACCTTTTTTTATCTTCCCTGACTCCCTATCATCCTCATGCTGTAAATCAGTGTTTTTTAAAGTTTTTTTTTTGATGGTGATGCATAGAAAGAAATATCTTTTAGATTACTGCTTGATACATACACAGACACGTGGATGTATGAAAACAGATTTACAAAGCACCACTTATTGTTACTATGTATGCTAAAGAAAAATATTACAAAAATAATATAAAATGTGACTTTATTAATGTTTAAGTAGAATAAATCTCTTCCACTTCATTTCCCATAGTTGCTGGTTGCGATCCTCTAGGTTGATTTCATAATACATGTTTTGGATTGTGGCCTGCAGTTTTAAAAATACTGCTCCAGAAAGGGAAAAGCCCAAACCTATGTATTAAAATTAGCTGACGTTCATTGAATGCTTTCTATGCATCAGGTATGATTCATATAATCCTACTAACAACCTCTGATATATTCCCATTTTATGGATATGGAAACTGAGGCACAGAAGTTGCCCCAGGGCCCTGGGATGTGGCAGAGCAGGGATGTGGTATCTTAACCACTACACCGTTCTGCTTCCCAAGGCGGGAGAGGCTTCTGTGAATCCCGTGTATTGCATACTCCCCAGACATGGCTGTTGTAACTTCTGACTTGACTGATAGTGCATGAAGGGGACACGAGCGTCACTGGGTTGTTCTTGTACCTGGCTCAGGCCTCACTTTAAGTTTAGGTCCTTGCTTTGTATCTAAATTGCCCCTCAACAACATCTAATTAGCCTGCTATGCTGCTTTGTGAGATCCTTGGCTGGAGGTAGAAACTACTGCTTAGAACTCGGCTTGTGGATTATTTGGTGACTCCCTATTTGTGTAGGTATTTGAGAATAAATAGCCTTTTAAACAAAACTGCTTTAAAGGAAATCTCCGTAGACTCGATCTGTAAACTACTAAGGAATAAATTAAACACGTGAAAAGTCTATGAATAAAAGAATTCGAAATCGCCAAAGGAAGAAAAGAACACTGTACATTTCACACATTTCTCTTTGGAGCAGGGTTAGGGAAATTTGGTGTGGAGGCAGTGGTCGAAAGAGTAAATGCTTTGAAACTAGACACACCTGAAGTTACATCACGGCCCTAGAATTTAGTGGTGGTTAGAGATTAGGCAATTTCCTTAACCCTTCT